GCCCCTGCACCTCTGGCCTGTACCCCAGTTCTGTATGTACAAATAAAATAAATCTTTAAAAAAAAAAAAGTTTCGCTGTGTAAAGTGCCTGCCTCAGAGCCCGCAGGCTCTGGTGGGTCCTACGTCAGTCATTCATTCTCTGAGGGTCCCTGAGCAGCTCAGGGAACCAGGAGCTGTGCCAAGCTCACCTGGGATACACTTAAGAGGTAAGTATAGATGAGAGGGCAGAGGTGAGAAGGCAGCAGTCTGTGGGACCCAGAGTAGACCCCTCGGGAGACCTGCGAAGTGGCACTTGGATTTCACCTTCACAGCTACCTGGGAATCAAGGGGGCAGAGCGGGGAGCCCTGGGGTGTCTGGGGCTCCAGACACCCTCCTCAAAGACCCCTTCTCAACCTGGAGGTGTATGGGTGGAGCGGGCAGCTCAGGAAGTAGGAACTGTGGGCTCAGACCTCACTGGCTTAAGTCAGCTGCCCCCCCAGTCTGAGTCACACCCCTAGGGGTCACAGTTACACCTGGCTGGGCCTTGGGGCTCTGGGTGGGATGTCGGTACCATGGGAAAGACAGCTCTCCCCAGGTTTGCTGTCACCACGGACACGGGAAGAGTAATAATCCACCATCAGCCTGACAGCGCCATGCCAGGATACGAGATGAACTGAGATGTTCCATGGGCTGTCCCTGCTCACGGCCCTCAGCTCTGCAGGCGGGGGCTTTCTGGAGTCCTGGCAGGAGGGTGGTGGTGGTGTGGGCAGCTCTAGAGAACTGTGGATTCCAGGCATGCTGGGAAAAGAGCCCTGTGCCAAGGGAGCTTTGTGGACAGGTGGGGAGAGGGGTGGAGGGTGCTCCCCAGAGAGCAGGGCCTGGAGCACGGTGCCCTTTGAAAGGAATATGGGGCCTGGAGTCAGACCCTCACAAACGTAGCCTTCTTAGCTCTCTCTCTGAGCCTCAGTTTCCCCACCTGGGGAAGAGAGAGGCACCATTCCTGATCGCAGAGTGGAGGCAGGTGTGTGGTGTGACTGTACATACAGCATGTGCACGACAAATCATTACTTCTCACAAGATCATCAGCCAGTTTTACAGTGAAAGAAACAGACCCGGGGAACAGACCCAGAGTCACGCACAGCAAGTCAAGAGATGGAGGCGCACTGGAAGTGCTATGAGTGTAAGGCGAGGCTCCCCACCCCTGGAAGCTTCAAGTGATCTCCCCGCTGGCTAAAACGAAGAAACCCAATGTGGGACCTCGGGGGAAATCGTCCTGTTTCGCGAAGACAGGACGCGCGGCAAGGGGTGGGGGAAGAACGAGCGTGCGTGGGCAAACGTTCCGTCTCGCGCACCTAACTGGTCGCGGTGGGTCCTGTGCGGCTTCTGGTCGCGGCGCCTTTAAAGCCGGGCGGGAGGCGTGTCGGGCGCGGGAGGACCGCCCCTGGGCGTGTCCTCTTGGAGCCCCGCCCCGAGGCTTGTAGCCGCGGTTCTGGGAGGCGGCGCCCGCTCTGGCTCAGCGGCCGCTGGAGCGGCGGCGGCGGCGACAGCGGCGGGGAT